GTCGGTCTATGAGTAGACGGATCACCTAGTGGTAAGTAATCGGCGTCACTAATGAACATACGAAGCACCAGAGGAATTACAAGTGCGTTGTCGGCCTTTTGAGAGGATACCGCATACAAAAATGGTCACTGCATTCGAAATACATTCCAAATACTAGTCTCGATGTCAAAATTTTATGTAACGTAATATCTTAAGAACTTTTTTAAAACTGGTTCATTCATTAGATTTGACGGTTTGAGACTTGTGCTAGACCGCATAACATTGATCGTGGCAGTAAATTATTGAGTTTTCATAGAAAGTTTTGTTTTAGTATGTAGATTGAAAGTGTTGTTGTGCTAGTTACAATTTGTGTCAGTGGAAGTATTATACTCGATACTTGTTGATTACTAAAATAGTCTAAAAAACTCTAACGAATTGTTGATGCAAAAGTTTGGAATTTTACTTTTAATGTCCCTGTAATATTTATTCTTGACTTCGATAAATAATCAGAACGATTATGATGAAAGATATTCAATAAAATCTAAAATTAACATTTAACGTATTCTTTATTTCTTAAAACCATAAACATGAAAACTCTCAGCCAACTAGCAACCACTAACTGACCTCAGACATCAATATGAGAACTAATTAAAACAAGCACTGCAACGTAGCTATGATGTAACTAATACTTAGATTGAGAAAACAAATGACGAAGGATAAGTTTGTAGGGAACCCGCTCCATATTGTGTATCTTGAGGAAGAGTTATCAATATATTCCAGAGCATCGTACACGGTATTGCGCAGTATATTATCTGTAAAGGACATATAGCTTAATAAACCAACTTCGATATTTTGAATAGCAAACTCTGTTTCTTGTTGTTTTATAGCATTTTGTAATTGGAATAGATTTTAGAGGTAAATTACTCTAATTATAAGTCTAAGGCTGATAGTTTCCTTGTGACCTCGATTAAGTTTTAAATAAAATATGAATATTTTTCCCACATAAATTTGTTTGTCTGGGCCATCAGAAGCTTATGCTAAAACTAAGAATATATCAAACTTAACGCCCTTGGGAACTCCAAAATTAAACATATTATTTTGTATCCGTTTGAACAAAATAAAAAGGTTTAATGAATACCTTTGTACGTTAACAATTCATTAACTAATAATTTCTTTGTCTCGTCCAAATATTTTGCTGTGGATTCCAAAAGCAAAATTGGTGCAGCCATAGTGAATAAAGAAAAAGCCAGTTCAATAACCCAAATCGTATTCTTCTTCGTATTCTGAAATTAGAAATACTAGTTTACACAACATTTGCAATTACATTTACTAGCATGAAATGAAAAGAGTATCACTTTTCAATATAAAACAGGGTTATGCTATGCAAAATATCTTACCGGGATCAATGAATAATTGGTATAGTACACTGAAATTACAATTTTACTGAACTCACAAAAAGAAGCGGCAATCATCTGTAACAATTATAAGTATTCATAACATCATCATCGTCATCATCACCAACATCAAAGTCATTCATTCATTACTTATTCATTGTGACATAATCTTCGTAGTCGTCATCATGAACATAATTTGTAGTACTAAGAATAAGTTTACTACTTATTTATTTATAAAGCTCCATGCACAAAGTGCACATAAGGTGGACTTAATGCCGCGGGCATTTCCTCCCAGTCTGACCTTTGGGTGATGCAGAGAAGAGTTATTGGTAGGAGCAAGATGCATGCAACGATTTAAACTGTCAAACACCAAGCGGTCACCGGTAACCGCAACCTATTGTTCTATAATTGTGTCTACAAAACCGGTACTCGACGAGTTAATTGAGCAAATAGAAGATACACTTACATATTTCTGTGATAAACATAAATAAACATAATTATAATATATATACCTACACACGAGTACAATACTATATACATACATACATACATATATACATACATACGTACATACAACATAATAAATTAAGTAAAAACGAGCGACGTCGCCGCGACCGCGTACGCTGCTCATGACGAAGAACCCCTCTGTGGTTCTAAACTAGTAGAGCTTTTCTCAGTATATTCACGTGAGTAACCCGCGATTTTTACTTAATTTAGTATGTCTCACGATGGTTATTATAAATACATACAACATAATCAATATCATCAATACATAGTATAAAACAAAGTCGCTTTCGCTGTATGTCCGTATGTATACTTAGATCTTTAAAACTACGCAACGGATTTTGATGCGGTTTTTTTTAATAGATAGAGTGATTCTTAAGGAAGGTTTGTATGTATATACATATTGCACCCGTGCGAAGCCGGGGCGGGTCGCTAGTATATAATAATAGACTGTGAGTAATTAGCGTGATAATTCAGCCAACCTCTCCAAGAGAAGCTCACGTACTTTCTGCTTAAATGATAGACGAGTCGACACCTTCCTGACATTAAGGGGCAGGCAATAGGGTAGACGACTAATTTTTATTTTAATGTCCGTCTGGTAGATTATTTTAAAATTTACACACGTATTTTTTATTTTCTTACAGAAAAGAATACTTTCGACGATATATTGATTTGAAATTACGCGTAACGTCACTTTTATGTACATTTTATACGTAGAAATGATGTTTTAGCCCCACTTCTAAACTTTGATTCGTTTTATCTAAGTATTGTTTTATTATACAACGAAATAAAAAAATACGTGTCTAATATTTTTTAATTACCTAACTTACGGACTAATTAGATTTTTAATTTTCATACCCTGTCGACATCCCAATTTTGCTGTGGAATGCAGAGCGCAAAGAATGAAAGAAGTCAATGCGATGAGTGGGCCATTGGAGAAGACGGTTATGAGAAGAACGGTGGTTATTAGTACTGTGGTTTGCGCATAAGTGTTGAAAATAAGGGGATAGGTTACTGGGTAAATAAGGTGAACAAAGAAAGGAGATTAGGGTGGTTAGCGCCCTTTGCTCCCTGCGCCGGCGTATTGGCAGCCACTTTAGTTACATCCGATGTGCAGAAACATGGTCTTATTTAAGCAGGTTGAAAACGAATCGAATGTAGTTATTCAGAAGTCGGTCAAGTTTGTTGAGGAGATTTCGTAGTAGCACACATCAGCATAATCGATAATAGGGAAAACCAAAGCCTGCACCAACATAGCCTTCGTAGCGGGAGGAAGTCAGTTTTTCACGCGATACAAAGCCCGCAAAGATCCAGTAACCTTTTTGCATACACTGGTGCCCTGAGCATGCCACTTCAAACTGTTATGGTCCAAGTTTTTCACCTCACTACTAAACGGGATTACTAGACTATCGAAGACCACGGCCTGTAGGGACGCCATGTCAACTCCATTGAGCGCGCGGGAGCCACCTATAAGAATGGTCTGACATTTTACAGGATTCACTGCTATGCCGGATATCTTCTTTATGGCTGCCAGGTCACCGTTCATCTCCAAAATTCATGAGACTGCCCACCAATACCACCTTGACGATATAGCAGCAAGTCATCAGCGTACAGATGGTACGCACACTGAAGTTCGGAAATTATAAAATTAATGAAGATAGAAAATAAAAGAGGAGATAGTATAACGCCTTGAGGAACGCCAGTACTTAGTTCACGCCAAGTAGATAAACCATCATCAATTCATCAACCTTGACCGACTACTGACGCTCTTGAAGATAAGAAGAGAACCAGTTCAGTGATTTGTCAGAGATTTGTTATTACCTTGATCCTCATGAAATTGGTAGTTTCATCCAAATTATTCGATGTTACCATATAGTCAACTATGAAATCTTCAATGTGCTTGTGTTTGTCGTCATCACTTATATTTCCAGCTTTAAACTTGTCCTTTAGTGAATTGCATAGATCTTTCACAGTTTTTTCATAATGTTCTATAGTGTACACCAAAGTTAGTCGACCAAAAATACTTGTCAGTGTTTCTAACTCAAATACTATACTTGAAACCAAACCGTATGCCCCACAAAAGAGAATGAAGTTTATTTTTTCTATAAAAATATTGGCGTAAATTATAAAACGAGTGATGTACAAGTTTAGTATCGATTCCAATGATGACGAAGCAGAAAAGTATTTTATTATAGAATCTTCGTTGGTCATCAACGATATGAAAATATTAACAGTAATTTCTATAAGCATTACTAGATTGTATAACGTTTCAAGGTAAATTCGCAGGTTGGCACTAGAGCAATTCTGTAAGAACGGTATATAGAATGCTAGTCCAACATAGATAATACAGTAGAGTTTTAAAAATCCAGACGCAGTTGAACTACTGCGTTCAGAATAATATCCAAATATTGACCTAAACGTAAAAATTGCTTGTAAAGATGAAGGTGGCAAAGAAAATTTAAACATTTTACAAGACGTGCGTTAGACCGTAAGATATTTTAAAACTTCTAATTTATTTTGAAAATTTTGGAATAAAGTTGTAAAAATTTTCTAATGAGGTTATATGATTATTGCTACGTGTCTCAACTGATGTAGCTTCAAAAATATTCGATTGATAAATAAATTCTTTAGAGTGCTCTTTCACATTGGTGAGTAAATAAAATCTATTTATAAAATAATAATAATATAACCCTACCGTAAATGGAAGGGTCGATATACGTGTAGTTATTATGTTCATCGAAACAACAGTTTCTGGCACAAGGCTAGTGTTTGATTACGTATTTAAATTAACTTTCCAAACTATATTTTAAAGATGACTTTTTTCTCTATACGTGGCATCCTTTGGTTCAGATTATTCTTCGGGTTTTACTTCAAATGTAGTAACTCCATTGTCATTAGCCTCGTCTTGAAATTGTATTGCATTTCCTTTTGTGTTTTGGATAGCATACATACTTACCTAACTTTGGACGAAGGTGATTTCATAGTCAATGCAATATTGTATATTTACGATACTTTAAATGTGTTAGATGTTATCGTAAACGTTCTAATACAGTACGCGCAGCGGTGTCGTTGCGACTAGACGCGTGAGTGTGTGCGCACGCCGTGCGCTGCGGTGTTGGCGCCATGTCGCGATCTCCGCAACGAGATCCCAGTGAAACCGAAATGAAATGTAATTCGTGTAATGTTATAATAAGTGAAATGTTAGCATTCGTGTGTAACAAAATAGACACACTACCCGAGACAGCTATCGTACAAATATGTTTGAGTGCATTTACCGATGCGGATATTGAAAGTGCCCGGCAACTTGTTTACAAGTTACTGGCACCTTCCAAGAAGATTATGAGAAGAAAGGAAGGTAACCAACAGAAGAGTGTGCAAGAAATAGTAAAGATCGTGAAAGAATCGGACCCTGATTGTCTACCGATTTTCGTGGCCAAAGATCTCAATAAATTGCCGCCGGTCACCTTTGACCACATAGATGTGACTACCTTCCTAAAGGAAATGTTGATACTTAAGAAAGAAGTCGCCAGCTTGCGGAGAGAAACTACAGAAGTATCTTCGCAAGCGGCTAACGAAGAGATGGCGTCTATAAAGCTCGAAATTCAACAATTAAAAGACTTAGTTCAAAATGCATTGTCGACTAACGCAAGTAAAAATACTCAAGAGTTATCGAAAACGACAATTATGCCTAACATACCTTCCATAAATATAATTGGTAAGGAGGTAGAGGAAATATATTCGGAAAGTATTGATTTAGATTTCGATCGGCCGCCGAGAGATGCATGCGACGCGGTAGCAGCGCGGGGGCGGGAGAGGGCGCGAGACAGTGAGCGAGTGCCGTCTCCTACGTCGCGTGAAACAGCAATTGTCGTGGGACGGGAGCAGCGAGACATACGTAGCGGGGGGGGTGTGATGCGCAGCGAGCAACATATCGCCGCCGCGCGGGAGATAGTGCCTGCGCCCAGTGACTTGGGCGTTATGTTATCAGCTGATAGGAGACCGTACACGATGGCAGATGCTGTTAAGAAGACTGTTAAGGAGACTATGCGTTCTACTGGCAAATCGACTAACGATGAATGGTCAACGGTACAATATAAACGTCGTAAAATTATGAATAGGAGAGGAATAGCGCAGCCGTTGGAACAATTTAACTTTAAGGCTGCTGAGAGAAAAATATCCTTATATATCTCGAGAGTACATAAGGATACGACCGCCAGTAATATAGAGGCTTTTATTAAATACAAGACCGACCTTGAGGTGCAAGTGTTTAAGATAAACAATGTAAATAACGAGTTTAATGCATTTAAGGTAATAGTTCCTTTAAGTAGTGTCGACCTGTTTCTGGACGATAACGGCGATCGTTTCTGGCCAGCTGACATTGTTTTTAGGAAATTCTGGGAACGTAAACAGAGTATTAACAAGCAGTCAACTGTAACTGAATCAATGGCAAACACGGAACCTACACAGAACTAAGATGGATTGTTCAAACATTAAGCTTGTCACATATAACTGTAGATCACTTAAAAGATCTTTACAAGAAGTGGTTCAATTATGTAATAACCATCACGTAATAGCCCTGCAAGAAACGTGGTTGTTTCCCCACGATTTAGGGTTGTTACATACCATACACAAACAATTTGGTTGTCATGGTATATCTGCTGTAGACACGGAGCAAGGTGTGGTGCGTGGAAGGCCGTATGGGGGAGTTGCTCTCCTATGGGACCGGAACATATTCCCTAGCGCGGACATTGTGCAGTGTAACAATGATCGTATGGTTGCGGTCAAGCTTGTGCGTGATGAGCGAAGTATACTAGTATTTAGTGTGTACATGCCTACCGATTGTGAAGACAATTTCCCGGTAATGGCACAGTGTCTCGCTAATATAAGTGCGGTAATTGATAGTGCGGATGTCGAAAGTGTGTTCGTGTTAGGGGACTTTAACGCGCACCCTGGTACGCGTTTTTATAAAGAGCTTATGGATTACTGTACTGAAGAATTGTTATCATGTATTGACTCTAAGAAATTAGACTTAAGCACGTATACTTTTGTAAGTGATGGGTCGGGCTCGCAGAGATGGCTCGATCACTGCCTGGTGTCCGCTGCGGCTGAACCATCGGTATGTAATGTTAGTGTACTATATGATGCATATCTATCTGATCACCTACCTCTAGTAATACATGTAAGATTAAGCAATATTATTTGTAAAAGACTGATTTTAGATAGTGGGACTGATTGCAATTTTAAGTATAAGTGGGGTATTAGAAACAAGGAGCAATGTAATAAATACTGTGAAATATGTACTGAAAATTTGGGTTTAGTGTATAGATGTGAGGAGTATAACTTGTCATGTAATATTAATATGTTATGTAATGATGTAAAACATCTAAGAATCATTGATAAACTCTATTGTGATATAGTTAATGTATTACAAACTGCTGCTGAGCGCACATATGCTGCCAAAGCTAGTACGAAGCGGCATATAATTGGTTGGAATTATCATGTTAGACAGTACCATGTACAGGCAAGGCAAACTTTCTTACAGTGGAATTCATATGGTAGGCCTGGTTCAGGGTTTTATTACGATCAAATGCGCATAGCTCGTATAGAGTTTAAACGTGCGTTAAAATTTGTTCAAAATAATCAAGAGAAAATTAAAATGAGTATATTAGCGCAGCACGCATCGTCGAAAAATTTTGGTGGCTTTTGGAAAGAAGTTAAAAAGCTCAACCCTAAAACTAGTATACCTGTCAGTGTGCAAGGTGAGTCGAACAAGAGAAATATCGCAAACAACTTTAGTGCACATTTCAATTTAAAACCGATTACCCCAAATCCAGTTAGCTATACATCGTTGTCGAGTTCTTATGGAAAGGATGAGGGGGTTTTTCAGGTCACAGCCAAAGATATTGTGGAGGTTCTCAGAGCAATGAAGCGTGGAAAATCCCCGGGACACGATGGCTTGAGTATTGAGCACTTATTGTACGCAGGTCGGTATATTGCTGATACTTTGGCCTTACTCTTTAATCTTTGTTCGCGACACCAGTACCTACCTGCAGAGCTTATACGTACGATAGTTGTGCCCATAATTAAGAACAGAACGGGCGATGTTACTAGTATGTCTAACTATAGACCTATATCGCTGGCAACGGTAGTGGCCAAGGTGCTTGAGCGTCTGATACACAAGGTGTTAAGTCCTGCACTTAAGTTGGATGATGGACAGTTTGGTTTTAGACCTGAGGTATCAACTGACATGGCTATTTTCTCTCTAAAACAGGTTGTATCGCAGTATGTGGAACAGGATACAAGCGTTTATGCTTGTTTCCTTGATCTGAGCCGCGCATTTGACACAATTAATCACGACTTGCTATGGAGGAAACTAGATAGGTTGAAAGTTGAAGCTGGGATTGTTGGACTGATTAGATACTGGTACTCTAATCAGTCTAACAATGTCAGGTGGGAGACTGCGATGTCGGAGAGCTATAGGCTGTCTTGTGGCGTTAGACAAGGTGGGTTAACCTCTCCTGATCTATTTAATGTTTACATGAATGACTTGATTGAGGAGCTGAGTGGGACGGCAGTTGGGCTTAGGCTTGGTGATAGGTATGTCAACAACTTGAGTTACGCTGATGATATGGTTCTGCTCAGCCCCTCAATCAAGGGTATAAGAAGACTATTGGCGATTTGTGAGAAATATGCGCGAGAACATAATCTAGTATATAACGCGAAGAAGACTGAAATGCTTATATTCAGATCAGGAAGAGGTCCACGTAATGTCCCACCAGTTTGGCTAGGAGGTCAGATTGTTAGAATAGTAGAAAGTTTCAGGTACCTTGGTCACATGCTGACGTCAGATATGAAGGACGACGCTGACATAGACAGACAACGCAGGGCATTGTCAGTCGTTGGCAATATGATAGCTAGGAGATTCTTTAAAGCCAATGCCCAGACGAAAGTTCACCTATTTAGAACGTACTGTCAAAGTTTCTACACGTGCCAACTTTGGACTCGTTACACGAGGAGGTCTCTGGATGGTATTCGTGTCCAGTACAATAACATCTTCAGACAGCTAATGGGTCTAGCCCCGCACTGTAGTGCGTCGGGTATGTTCACAGAAGCGAGGCTGGACACGTTTAATGCTATACAGAGAAAGCGAATCGCTGGATTCTTGTCTAGAGTTGGCACTTGCACAAACAGTATCATCAAGGAGTTATACAACCGATTGTATGCCACGTCTGTATATAAAAAATGGATGCAAATTGCAGCGTAATGCTGTTCAGGTTATTAAGGTTATTATTATGTTTTAGTTTATGAT